AAAACATCTTTGTAACCATTTTTTAAAGCAAGGTTAAAGCAAGGCTGTGTCATAAAATACATTTTACCCATTTTTGACTTTTCTTCTTGGAATTGAAAACTTAGCTGCTTGACCTGATTTCAGCCTGAACAAAATCCTAATATTCAGGGAACATTTCAGGAACTCCGTTATTGAAGTTTCGACGCGTCTTGTGAAACTAAAAGACAAATGGCATGTCGGTTGTCTCACGTGTGTTTCCTGTTTTTAAACAAAGACAAACGTTGTAGTGTAACGAGCCTGCATTCAAAGAGTGTGTGTTCATTATTATTTACCATTTCAAATGCTTGATTTAAAAATAAAAAAATCTATAAATTACAGCAGAAAAGGATTTCTGTCAGCCCCGGCATCACTTCACCTCTTTGAACTGCAGTTCTGTGTTGCTCCAGTTAATAACTGACCCAAACACAAATGCAGGTACTTTACAGTCAGTATTTACATTTATAGCACAGCGGTTTAATATGCGATTCAAATGGGTGTGACTGTACTTGTTTATATTGTGTTTATATCAGTGAGTAATTCTGAAACTTTCTATCTCATATAGATAAGAGTTCTGAAGTAGGTCACAATAAACACACTGGCCACTTCATTACACACGCCTGCTGACGTTCATACAGAGCGTCACGACGAGGAAAGAAGTTAATTTAATTGACTTTGAGTGTGCCATTACTGTTGACAGGCTCCCTTCATCTCAAGAGTCTCGATTTCTGCTGAAACATTTGAATTGCAGGGTCAGAATTGGATATAAACAAGATGAAAGCACAGGCTGCTGGCAGTGGTGTAATCATGTAGGGGGTATTTTAATAGCACGCTCTGAACCCCTCAGTACCAATTTAGCAATGCCAGAGCCTATATATTGTTGCTAGCCGTGTCCATCCCCATATGACCACAGTGTAGCTTTTGATGGCTTCATTCAGCAGAAAAGAAAAAAAACCCTCAAATAATCTCAAATTGATTTTCTGAGCATGACAATGAGTTCACTTTACTCAAACTGACTCCACCGTCATTAGATCTCAATCCAGTGAAGCACCTTTGATGTACTAGAACAGGTGATTTAATTCACAACCATCAAATCTACAGTAACTGTGTGATGCTATCATGCCCATATGGACCAAAATGTCTGAGCACCTTTTTGAATCTGTGTCATGAAGTATTCAGGCATCTCTGAAGACAAAAGGATTCTAGCAAGTGTGCACAGAAACACACAGAGTAATAGAGACAGACACAAAGGTAATATGTGTATTAAATCTATGTTTGTTTGTCAACTTCAATCCATATTCCTCAGAGAAGCAGCTTCCACGTATCCCACCCCTGAAATTAAACTATATTTGCTACTGGCTTTATCTTCTGAGATTCAAATTTCAAATATCCATTCAAATTTCACGAGACTGTATTACAAGACTGTACTGTTTTCCAGCGTTTGTTTGGTGATTGGTTTGGTGATTGGTGTCCTCGCTTGCAAAGCTGCAAATACAAATATTTATTGTTTCTGGTTATACATGAACGACAAACGGAAAAAACCCCGTATTGTGATCTACAATGAAGAGATGAGCTTGATCGCGTCACAAATTGTGAGGTTGAAGGAAGAAGAAATGTGCAGAATGCCAAACTGATTTCACAAGCTGTGAAAGAAAAAGTACCTTGGAGAACAATGGGTTTAAATTAAACAATGAGCGATGCAATATTCAGTGGAATTCCAGCCTTTTTATTTACTGTATCTATTGTGACACTAGGAACACGATACTATGGCTTTCTGTTAATGTCTGTCATCTCCTCTGATTCAGATTACATGATACACATGATCACCAGGAAGTTTTCTTTTTTATAGGGTTGAATAATGAAGCGGAAGAACAAAAAGAAAATATTAATCATTTTTCATTTCAGTACACGCCTCTGCAACACAAATCCAACACTCTTTGTTAGTTTGCGTGAGATACTATTCAACCTTTAACAACCATCATAAAAGTACGTTATTACTCACAGGGCAGTGCATTTCTTATTGTGCAAAGAGAAGTTATTAAGTGATGATGTGATAAACTAAATGACTGTGGGGTTTTGCAGAATAGCAACGATGAGGAAGGATCTTCCTGCAGTGTTGATGAGCCAGGTAATGAGGTGACGTTGGTATGGAACAGTGTTAAACCATGTGGTTGATACAATTCACAATGAGGATAGTGATGCCAAACTGCATTTCTTAGCAGCTTTTCAAGGCAGTTCTTGGAAAAATATTTAACAAGCAAATAAGCTGTCAAAAAAGAAATAGGTGCTCTGTTTCTTAATCTCTGGCTGGCAGTGGCCAGTTTAAAACATCTCATACCAGCTTTGCTCTGTATTTTTAGATATTGTGCAACATTTACTGGGTTTTCCTGCATGCACGCAAAAATAAAATGAAAAATAAATTGGCAACCCCTCCAAGAAAGCTTTGGGCTCACTGTTTATTTAATCAAAATAATATAT